GGGGGGTGACCTCCAAGAACTCCTGCGGGGAAGCCCTACACTTTGGAGGTGGGTCGAAAGCGATATAGAGAGGGAGAGGGGAGAGAGACACCCAAAGTAGACGAGGGGGGAGGGGATGATGATGGGGACACCAAAAATGTTTTTCCGCGTTGGCCAGCTTTCAGAACAGGACGGATGAAAAAGAGAGAGAGACAGAGTGCCAAGTGAGACAGACTGATTGCGCGGCATGACAAGGCTAGACAGCGCAGTGTTTTGTATTTTGCGCGTCTCGCTGGGCTCGGGAAAAACACGTGAGCTCTGTTTACTACGGGCTGCCTCTGTGGGCAAGCACCCGGCCCGGCCCGAACACCGCGTCGCCATGCCTAAATAACTAAGCTGCCCGTCTAACTCGTGCTGCTGTTATGCTTACCGAGGATGAGGTGCAGCTTGGCGTCCGTCTGGAAGGCGTAGTGCAGTGTGACCAGGAAGGGCGACTCGCGCACGGCCTCGAGCACCTGCCGCTCCGTGCGCGTGTGCTCCGTGGTCTTCTTCTTCTGCACAATGGTGGCCTTCTTGAGCACCTTCATGGCGTACAGGCGGCCGTCGTCCGGCCCCCCTTTCTTGCGCACCAGGAACACCTTGCCGTACGCTGCGCAAAAGAGAAAAGGAAACACATGGTCAGAAAGAGGTTACACGAGAAAACAAAGTACAAAAAATGCTCGGGATTCAAAATGCACAACCTAAGTAAGAAATAAAATAAAAATCAGACTGGTGCATTTCCCCCTTTCCGAAATTAATTACCATGTAATGGCAGTCAATTAATTGATCATCAAGGCCACATCACGGCAATAAAATACAAAATAAAATTAACCCTTCCCGTTCGGTGCGCTCTGCTGGACAGTCTTAACGGTTCGAGCCACACCACGCCACGCCACGCCACGGAGGCCCTCCTGCGGGTTTGGGGAGGGGAGGGCGAGGAAAGGGGCCTCCACGAGCTCAACGCCGCGAGCGCGCACCAGTCTACAGTAATGAAGAGAATTTCGTTATGACACTGATGTTTCCTGGTAATTAGGACAAAACACAAACGAGACATGGCGCTAATTGGAGAAAGAAGGGCAAGGTGCGCGAGGGAGAGACAAGAGGAGAGCGAGAGGGATATAGCGAGGAGGGAGACAAGGGAGGAGAGAGAGCGCGCGGAGGAGAGACAGGGAGGATCAGGAGAGAGGGTTCATGCCTTGAGACGTCTACACCCAAAATCACAAAGTGCCGCCGCTAACGACCATTAGAAGGTTTCAATTAATGTTCGGCCGAGGGCCGGTTGAATTATCGAGAGCAATCCCATCAAGGGAAGCGGCAATCAAGAAGAAATTGAAATGAGGCAGAAATTCGTAACGATGCACTTCCGACCACATTCCCTTACTATCCACATCCATCCACCCCTCTCTCCAGTCGTTTTATTCCCCTGCTAGCCAGCCGTCTGGGCTCACACCAGCCGGGCCCCGAGGACCAACGCCAAGCAGCTCCGCCCCGCTGCTCCCCCTGCTCCTGCTCGCCTGCCGCGGCAGAGACCGCTATACACGCACGACAACATATTTCAGAGATAAAGCCGTCCCGTGGAGAGCGAGAGAGAGAGGCGGAGAGAAGAAACTAGATGCAAGGAGGGGAGCAGGGAAGGAGGCATGAATAGGTATGCGCTCGAGTTTGAGATCCGGCCGACCAGGTAAAAACGGTGCACTCCAGAACCTGCACGCGGCACGCGGCCCCGGACCTGGAGTCAGCCGCTTGCAGCCGCTTGCGGCCGCGACAGCCCCGCGCCCGTGAGGAGGGGAGCGGGAGGGAACGCCTTGGTTGGCGGCGACGTGGATGGTTGGATTTCGCCGACGCGATTTCACAGCCCGAGGCCCGAGGACGAGCCGATGACGCGGAGGGGGAGGGGTGTGGGCACGATCTATGGGAGCGGAGTCCAAGGAGGACCAAATCTTCTACGCTACGCTACGGCCCCACGGCCCCGCACCCGACCCGCCGTCGGCCCGCCACACAGCGTGTTGCGTTCCAACCGGGAGAGAAGGGGGGCGTGGGGAGGGGGGCCCATCATGGGAGTCACAGCCCCGTGCCCCGCCGCGCCACGCCGCCGCGTCCAGCTATGCAGGAGGCAGGAGGCAGCAGCCGTCTGGCCTTTGCAGCAGCCAGCAGCGCCAAGCCAGGCAGCCAGGCAGACCGAAAGGCAAAGCGAAAGTGAAACGAACGCAGCCCGCCGCAGGGGCGGGGCGGGGCGGGGCGGGGCCGCGGGACGAGCAGCCGCGGAGCAGCGGAGCACGGCTGCACAGCGCAACACGACAATGGCTCCGCAGAGTCAGCGGCGTATCCAGAAACAGTCACTCGGGCAGGCTGGTCTGGTCCCCCCCCCCCTTTCAGCGTTGAGAGGGATCGCCCAGAAAGTACTCTGTTGCCTTGTCTGTTGCTCTCGGCTTCATTCGGCAAACTCCAGGAGCTCGGCGTTGCGAGCCTCGAGGTATAGGCCACCCCGCAGCACACGCCTGCACTGCAGGCAAGGTGTTGCCTACCTACCGGGCGCCTTCATAGCCTGCTGAGGCTGAACTTGGCACAAGGTTCGTAATAACGGCGAGTGCCCGACGTACATTTCTAGACGACCCCTTAGCGCAGTTCCAATTTCAATGGTTCAATCGCCTCCAGTCTTTGCAATTTGTCCACACGAGGTCATAGCAATATTGCAAAAGCCTATGCCACACGGCGCGCAGGGCGGACAGCTACTGCTGCCTTCGGGACGAGCGCGAGTGGAGCGGAGCGGAAATTAGTTTTTAATAGCCGCCGTGCATTTCCCCTCCGCGTTCGACTTGAGCGGAGGCGCGTGTGCAATATGGGAGTCCGGCCGGCCAAACCAATTACCTCCGCGGCAAACATGAACACGACGTCGTACAACAACGGCAGCATCGACGAACAATGGCGGCGGCAGACGTGTGCAAATGTCGCTATATGGCCGTTAAAATGTAACGCCGAGGGAGGCAGCACAGCGCACTCACGCACGCGGGGGAAGCGGGCCCGGGGGCACAAGTCCAGACCCCGCCCCGCCTGCACCGCACGCGGAGGGGGAGCGAGGCGAGGGGGTGCGACACGGTGCAGCCATCCAGTGCAGCGCGGGCGAGAGGGGGGGGGGGG